TCTTTGTTGTTGTGTTATATCTCAGTAAGCAATTTCTCACTGTTGCAAAATATTTTGTGATTTTTTGTGTGTGGAATAAATATAGCGGTTAAGAACAGAAAATTATTGAATTTCTTATACCTGGTATCAATTTATACAATCTGCTCAACAAACTAATGGGATTCACTATTTTGATTTCTTTAAAAAAAATGAAGCTACAGTATGTACTAGTTTGCCTACTATTCCACCATAACCATTTTAAAATATTACTATTTAGAGAACTAATTTTAGTGGATGTGTAATACAAAACACAGATCATGACCTTGTATGTTTGCTAAAACAGATTTAAACAAAATGCCTTATCACAAAGAATTCTCATATTTATTTTATTTTAATTTATTTATTTATTCATCAAGTTTAAAGCTGAAATAATTTTCTCAAAGATTTTTAGGAAAATCTGCTGTATCTTACTAGTATCTTATAAGAAACTTACATAGTACTAAATATTATAAAAATATTCCTTTGATTTGAATTAAAGATGATATACAGTAGATCATATATATATTCTTCTTGTACTATAACTGGTTGTATCTGATAAAACATAGCAAGGTTATGAAAAACCTTTGAACTTCTTTCATCTAAGACTTCAAGCCTTTTCTCTTCCAAATACAATCAGTGGTGACAGGTTTTTCATTAGGGCTTTAGATTCAAACACAAAAAGATGCTTTAGAATCCATTTGGTTGAGTGGACGTCTTCAATTCTTTAAGCCAACTATAAGTTCATGTGGCAGCTAGTTTACATCAATCTCTAATCCTCTCCCCTTTCATTTCTTATAATGAATAAATTTAACTGCATGTGGAAAAACACTGATCAAGGAATAGTGTAAAAGATCAAGAATCAAAGACTTTCAATTTTTTTCAAAGCATGAACTTGAAACAGTAGATATTAATAACTTAATGACAGTTTATTTATTTGGATTTTCTAATATCTAATATTTGTAATTAAACAAATTGGGGCCCCAACAATGAATGACTTTTACGCAAGGTTTTAAAAACTACCATCTATCAAAATAGTTAAAATTGAGTTATGTGAATAACTCTTAACTTTTTATGACTTTCTATATCTTATTCATAAATTTGCTGGAAAAATACTATGAATTTATCTACTATGTCATACTATGAACATGTAAAAAGATTGCACAGATTTGATCTAGTAAACTTTTTGGAATTATATATTAGTATAAATATTGAGCTAAATATTGTCTAAAAGATTTCCAAAAGATAAACTGGTGGTACAACTCTGGCTTAAGTTTATTATATATTGTATGTACTCATTTGCTATTTTAAGGTTTTGGTTACCACCTTTAAAGCACTCCATGGCTCAGGACCTGGGTACTTGCGGGACCACCTACTACCACCAATAGCCTCCCACCGGCCGGTACGCTCTCATAGAGAGGGGCTCCTCCGGGTGCCGTCGGCCAAACAATGTCGACTTGCGGCTCCCAGGGTGAGAGCCTTCTCTGTGGGGGCACCTTTTTATTTCACCAGGTGGGCCTGGCCTAACTTTCTCCCTCTTTTTAAACATTTTTAATATTTTTTAATATTTTTAGTATTTTTAATATTCAAAGTTTAAATTTGTTTTAAATTAATTGGGGTTTTAAATCTGTCTGGGCCAAACTATTTAATTCGATTTTATCTCTGCTTTTTAAATTTTGTATGTATGTATTATTGTTGGCTGTTCACCGCTCTGAGTCCTTCGGGAGTAGGGTGGTATATAAATCAAATAAAAGTAAAAAGTAAAGTAAAGTAAAGTAAAGTAAAAGGTAAATCTCAAATTGCATAAATCACTGAGAAACAAAAAGGATAAAATGCTTCAAAAACATCATCAGGCTGTCAGGAAATAATCAGATAACATTCTGTGTGATCGGTAGTTGGGTTCTTTCCCAAGAAGGCCATGCAACATAAGCAGAGAATGAATGTATGAAAAGGCATAATACAAATAAACCAAAGGAACAGCAAATTAGTCTCTAGTGAAGCTAAAAAGCCAAAGGAGTCTGAAGAATGCCTTCTAATACCTTCTCAACAGTTGCATCCAGTTCATCATTTAGGAGCTCCTATGGCAGAGTGTTTAAAGTACAGCACTGCAAGCAAACTCTGCCCATAGTCAGGAGTTCGAACCTGACAGAGCTCAAGGTTAACTCAGCCTTCCATACTTGTGAGATTGGTAAGATGATGACCCAGATTGTTCGGGGTGTATGCTTGTAAATTGTAACTTGCCCAGAGAGTACTGTAAAGCATTATGGGACAGTATATAAGTCTAAATGCTATTGCTATCATTTAAGGGTTCAGGTCTATCATCCAGCTGAAAGCTTCCTAAAGGTTAGTATTTTACTAGCAAATTTCAATTCTCGAATACAGCTCACTTGCCTGGAACCCACATTGTATATTGGACATTAATACAATTGAGTGAGTCTAGAGGTATTTCACGAGAAAAGTACTCCAGCCTCTGCTTACAAAAAGAATACCATATGCCGCCAGGCTTCAAATTTTGGGATTAGACAATTTAGAACTATGCCATCTTCGGTCTGACCTAAGCATAGTTCAGAAAATTATCTGCTACAACGTCCTATCTGTCAATGACTACTTCAGCTTCAACACAATAATACACGAGCACACAATAGATACAAACTTAAAGTAAACCACTCAAAACTCGATTGCAGAAAATACGACTTCAGCAACAGAGTGGTCAATGCCTGGAATGAACTACCTGACTACATTGTTACTTCCTCAAACCCCCATAACTTTAACCTTAGATTATTTACTGTTGACCTCACCCCATTCCTAAGAGATCTTTAAGGGGCATGCATAAGCACTCCAACATGCCTACTGTCCCTGTCCTACCGTCCCCATTTATTCGTATCCTTATCCTGTTAAGTGAGACATTTCTGCTGTTAAGTGAGTTTTGCCCCCATTTTATGATCTTTCTTGCCACAGTTGTTAAGTGCATCACTGCAGTTCTTAATTTCCACAGTTAACATGGTTGCTAAGTGAATCTGGCTTCCCCACTGATCTTGCTTCTCAGAAGGTTGCAAAAGGGGAATCACATAACTCTGAGACCCTGTAACCATCATAAATATGGGTCAGTTGGCAAGCATCTGAATTTTGATCATGTGATCAGAAATACTGCAATGGTTGTAAGTGTAAAAAATGGTCATAAGTCACGTTTTTCAGTGCTGCTGTAACTTCAAACGGTCACTAAATGAATTGTTCTAAATCAAGGACTACTTCTATTAGAAGGAAGTATAGCTAATATGGGATATTGCTACTGTACAATCACCATCAAAATGTGCTGTGTAAGTTTTCACACTTCAGCTGTTATGTTTGCATCTACAAATATACTGAGGTCAACCACCGCAGCTATTTAATTATTTTAATACATAAATTTTGTGTTCTTTTACTGTTATTAGGGCTACACTGATCATACAACAAGCCTGTCACTGTCATCTCTTTTGAGAGGTAGAGATATTTGCAAAAATGTTCAGGGAAGCATATCAATAAATGTATTTCATTGCAGCCAATTATGCTTGGATAGTTATTTTTCACCTTAATCCGGAAAGAGAGCATACAGTATTAATAAGCACTGGAATAAGTGTGAGAAATGGGAAGGGAAACAGGAAGAAACAAAGAGTTACTGGAGAAATGAACATTAATTTGTACTTTTTTCAGATGTTAAAAACAAGTAAACATAATGCATAATTATTGGGAAGCCCAATGTGTTCTATAAGATTTGTGAAAGATGCACAAATAAATATAACAGGAATCTATAGGAGAGATTATCTCCTACAAATATTCAAATGTTAAGAACACAGTGGGATTCATGGTGTCTAGCTAAGGCAATCCTGACATGATTTGGTGCTAGAGAAATTACATACAACATTACTATGATTATGCCTGAGGAAGTACAGCTATTAAACAGCCATGGTTTCCATGCACAAAGTATTAATCCCTATTCACAGAGAAGTAGATCAGTGAACAGTACAATAAATCAAGCACTAGTTCTTTCTTTCTTATAATTTAGAAAACCTACATAGTAAGCACAAATATCTTATGCCTAACTATGTCCTACTGATTTGCAGCTAGAAAAATCTGACTCAGGAATTTGTCAATGTTATTTATACTTTAATCTTTTTAATTCTTCCAAATGTGTTTATTTTTTAACAATCCCATTTGGGAAACAGCTTTCCTCTGAGAACAATAAAAATATAAATTCCATTTCCAGCTTTCTGTATTTCACAACCCTTCTTCAACTGTGTAGGGAATGCTTCAGGACAGATAACCGTCTGCTTTAATTAAAACTGTAAATAAATTGTAGGTGGTCTTGATAAACTACTGAAAGAGTGTTGATGACAGCATTACAGCTGAAAAATAACCTGCACGTCAAGCAGCCTGATCAATATAATAATTGCTCCAGGCTGAAACAAAAGTACAATCTCTAGCTGGAGGCAGCCAATTACTAAAGGAGGTTATTCTGTTGTACATTATGTGATGTATTAATACTAAAAAATTAAGAAACAGTTGGAACTAAGTAGATTTGGAGTACTTTAAATAATTTCTGACTTATACATCCTACAGCTATATAACTCGGCTTGCTATCTTCTGATTGCCTCATTATCACACACCCATTGCTAAATTGTTTTCTTTTATCTATCAAGATATATATAGGTACTGAAAGTTAATGAGACTTTTTTTAAAAAAAAACCCTCATTTTTAAGTTTAATGTTTTTATTGTTAAATATAGATGATGCACTATATTAACATAATAAGATGTTACTACGAATGCTATGTATTTGAAACAGTACTATCCAAAACATTGTAAAATTATAATAATTTTAAGTAAAATGCTGCTAGGAAAAATACCATGTTATACATATTTGCATAGTAGCTGATCAACTGTGTCTGCTAAGAACATGAGTGGATACAGAGAAACTGCTTTCCGTGAGCATGATGTTATTATAATGTACCTGTGTCTTTGTCCTGTACTTCTTCCAGGTGCAAGTCATTCAGGAGATGCTCCAAAATCTTCTCTGGTGTCCCTGACACCACAACATATCTGTCAGAAAGGAGAGAGTCCACAGAGTCATCCTCTGTTGAAGACTGAGAACGGCTGCTCCATTCATCTTCCTCATCTTCTTCATCAATATATTTAAAATAAGGCACATCAAATGTGTGCAAAGGCAATTCTCTGCCTGGAAACAAAGCAGAATCCTTCTTCTCTATGTGAGGGTCAAAGATCCTCAGTCTCGAACTTCCCATACTGTATGGCAAATGAAAATGACATTCCCTCAATGCTGCCCTCTCACTTTGGTTGCCAGCAACCGAATTCAGCCAGCTGCCGAGAGCTCTGCGTCAGCATGACTCCAGCTGAGTCTGAGCACCCAAGGAAAAACTCTTACCTCCAATCATTCTCGGCACTCCCAGATATGGGGGTTGGGCTCTGTGACAACACTCTCCTAAGCACCAGCACATCTTGGTCCAGTTCCTTCACTTGAACAGTGGTCACTTCATCATCCGGCTTTAATTTGGAGAGAGAGATAAATAACAAAGAGAAAAATGAATAAAATCTCAAGGGACTGAAAGAAAGAAGGGGTGGGGAATAGCTTTGATTAGAGCTGCATTTTCTCTCTATCGGGGCTGCCATCCGCAGCAGACACTGCCTTTGATTTACATTCAGAAAATTCACAATGCACCAGAATTTGAGCAGTGCCTTCTTTTCCCAGGGGCACTGATAGCATATAACAAAGCTGTTAATTACAAATTTTTAGATTTAACACTTAAATGAAAGGACAACAGTTAATAATAGAAAGAGAAGCATTCTTTAGTTTGCTTTTTTCTTGATCGAAGTTACATCCTGCTCTAGCCTACAACTTAAAATTGTTAAGGAAGTTATAACCATTTTATGCCACTTTACAGTATTTCAGTGAGTTTAACTGCTATACCAATATAATAGACCATTCTATAAAACTACTCAAGCAATGAATATGTGAAAGAATACAATATTCATTCTTGCATCCTGAGCTCACATAACAAAAAATTAACTTCTGAAAACCAAAGCCCACTAAAAGCATGGGGAAAAATTCACAAAAGATTGCCTCTTGAAAAATTAGCTGTTTGTTGTACTAACTTTTTCCACCCTAGAGCCTATTAAATGAAGGGATTATTCATAGACATACAGCCTATTAGAACAACAATCTTAAAAGGGTGATTGCATAGAGCCGTGATGGCGAACCTATGGCATGCGTACCAGAAGAGGCACGAGAGCATGGGTGAAATGCTCCCGGTTCGGACCGGATCACCTGATCCGGTAGCGATGGAGGTGGGTGGTTCAGAGAACCGGTAGCAAAAATCCCTGCCCCCCCCAATGCCCAGCTGAGCTGCACAATCATCAGAAGCTCTTTTTTTACTTTTAAAAGTACTTTTTTCTACAACCTCTTCGGCTGAAAAAAGGCTTTTAAAAGTTAGAAAAAAAGCTTCTGATGATCGTATGGCTCAGCTGGAATCGTCAAAGGCTTTTAAAAGAAAAAAAGCTTCTGCTGATCAGGCAACTCAGCTGGGATTGTCAGAGCCTTTTGAAAGCAAAAGGCCGAAGAGGTTGTAGAAAAAATGGTTTTAAAAGTTAAAAAAAAAAAATTGCCCACACTCACCCAGTCACATTACCCCCCCCAAGCCACGCCCACAGAACCGGTAGTAACAAATTTTAGATTTCACCACTGATGCAGAGCCATCTCTCTGGGCACACTTTTAATATTTATATATAGGAGGGAGGGAGGGAGAGAGAAAGAGGGAGAGAATAATTATTAATTTTTTGCAGGTTCAGATATGTCGGTACTAAACCAATTAACATAAATCTTTTGTTGAAAAATTCCCTTGGGAGATCAAGACATGATGTTTCAGGAATACCAATGTACAACTGTAATTTTCTATTTCACGGTATACGCTTTTGTTGCCCACAATATGCAAGACAGACATAAAACAGTAAGCTATGTAAAATCACTAACATTATTCAATTAAAAGAGATTTCTCCATACAGCCTTCTCATTTTATTTTTTCCAAACCATCCACATAGATGCATTGAATTCAAATCTATTATAGTTACATTTATATCTCAACTTTCCTCTCAGATCTCAAAACAGTATATTTGGACTGTGTGTGTGTGTGTGTGTGTGTGTGTGTCTGGTCAAAATGAGTTTCTTATTCAAGTAAGAACTTGAATCTAACTGTCCAATATCTCAAGCAATATATTGCACTAGCTTTCAAAATAATCCTCGACACTATTGCTTTCAGATGTAAAAGCTACTGCAACTTCTGGGGGAAAAAATATCACACAAACCATGGGTCCCTAACCCCAGATCCGTGGCCTGGAATTGGGCCGCACAAATGGTGGCAATCTCGCAAAGCTAATTTTGCGCATGGGTGGGATTAAGTTGCATGCACAAGCATCCCCTTACCTACCACCACCGCCACTGCCTGCTACCACTGGTGGTCTGTGGATCCAGAAAAGTTGGGAACCCCTGACATGAATAATAGGAACTACAACCACAGGGGCTATGGCAAAGTGTACATTGCAACACAAATTCCACATTTATTTATTTATTTATTTATTTATTTATTTATTTATTTATTTATTTTATTTCTATACCGCCTTTCTCCCGTAGGACTCAAGGCTGTGTACAGTCAAGAAAAATATAGACACACAAACATCATAAAATTGCTAATTAAAATTATTATTTAGTTTGGTCAATTAAATAAAACCCAGAATTAGATAACATTTAAAAAATCATTCACATGTTCGTATGTTTAGCCCCGCCTGTTGGAACATCAGGGTCTTGAGGGCATGGCAGAAAGCACGGAGATCAGGGATATTCCGTATCTCCTGAGGCAGTTCATTCCAAAGGGTTGGAGCCCCCACAGAGAAGGCCCTCCCCCTGGGAGTCGCCAGTCGACATAATTTGACTGACGGTACCCTGAGTAGTCCCTCCCTGTGAGAACGAACTGGTCGGTGGGAGGCTATTGGTGGCAAAAGACGGTCTCGTAGGTACCCAGGTCCTAAGCCATGGAGTGCTTTAAAGGTGATAACTAACACCTTGAATCGCACCCGGAAGACCACTGGGAGCCAGTGCAGCTCGCATAGGAGAGGTGTTACATGGGCGTAACGAGCTGCGCCCATAATCACCCGCACGGCTATGTTCTGGACCAGTTGGAGCCTCCGGGTGCTTTTCAAGGGGAGCCCCATGTAGAGAGCATTACAGTAGTCCATACGGGAGGTAACTAGGGCATGAGTGACCGTGCGCAAGGCGTCCCGATCCAGAAAGGGACGCAACTGGCGGATCAGGCGAACCTGATAAAAGGCACCCCTGGCCACGGCCGTCAAATGATCTTCTAAAGATAACCGTGAATCCAGGAGGACACCCAAGTTGCGGGCCCTCTCTGTGGGGAGCAAGATCTCATCCCCTATTGTCAGTGATGGTACCAGCTGACTATACCGGGACGCCGGAAGCCACAGCCACTCGGTCTTGGAGGGGTTGAGTCTGAGCTTCTTTCTCCCCATCCAGATCCGCACAGCCTCCAGGCAACGGGACATCATAGCAAGGGCATCATTGGGGTGGTTTGGGGTGGAGATGTATAGCTGTGTGTCATTAGCATACTGATGGACTCTCACCCCAAAACCACGGATGATCTCGCCTAGCGGTTTTACATAAATGTTGAACAGAAGGGGTGAGAGGACTGACCCTTGCGGTACCCCACAAATAAGGTGCCTCGAGGTCGACCTCTGCCCCCCTGCCAACACAAACTGCGAACGGTCAGAGAGGAAGGAGGAGAACCACTGAAGCATGGTGCCCCCTATTCCTAACCCCTCCAGCCGGTGCAGTAAGATACCATGGTCGATGGTATCAAAAGCCGCTGAGAGATCTAATAGGACCAGGATAGAGGAGCAACCTCTATCCCGAGCCCTCCAGAGATCATCCACCAATGCGACCCATGCCATTTCCGTGCTGTATCGTGACCTGAAGCCCGACTGGAACGGATCCAGATAGACAACTTCATCCAGGTATCGGGGTAGTTGTCGCGCCACCACACTCTCAACAACCTTCGCAACAAAGCGAAGATTGGAGACTGGACGATAATTTGATAATATAGCCGGGTCCAGGGAAGGCTTCTTGAGGAGGGGCTTCACAACCGCCTCTTTCAAGGCGGCGGGAAAGATACCCTCACTCAGAGAAGCATTTATAATCCCCTGGAGCCAGCCTCGTGTAACCTCCCGGGAGGCCAGTACCAACCAGGAGGACACGGGTCCAATAAACATGTGGCAGCGTTAAGCTTGCCCAGAATCCTGTCCACGTCCTCAGGAGCCACAGAGTCAAACTCTTCCCAGATAACGTTCTCAAGACCTGCCCCCGTCTCCTCCCCTGGATCTACCCAATCGGAGTCCAGGCCTTCCCGAATCTGAGTGACTTTATCATGCAGGAATTGTACAAAATCCTCAGCTCAACCCTTTAAGGGATCTTCCCGTACCCCCACCTGAAGTAGGGAGTGGGTCACCCTAAACAGCGCAGCTGGGCGGTTCTCTGCAGATGCAATAAGAGCGGAGAAGTAGCTAGACTTCGCCGCTCTCATCGCCACTAGGTAGGTCTTAATATAAGATCTCACCTGTGTTCGGTCAGATTCAGATCGGCTTGTCCTCCAATCGCTCTCCAGGCATCTTTTCCGACGCTTCATCTCTCTCAGCTCCTCTGAAAACCAAGGAGCTAGACGAGATCGGCATCGGGTCAGAGACCGCAAAGGCACAACGCGGTCCAAGGCCCCAGTAGCCGCCCTGTCCCAGGCGACCACCAGGTCCTCAGTCGAGTTGTGAGCCAGAGTCTCAGGAAATGGCCCAAGCTCCATCAGGAACCTTTCGGGGTCCATCAGGCGCCAATTTGGTTGGTTCCGTCTCCCTGCGGTGGGTGGAAGTGACTTGAAAGTCCATGTGAAGGAGAGAATGATCAGACCATGACAAGGGTTTGATGTCTATATCCCCTATTCTTAGATCATTCAGCCACTGATCAGAGACAAAAATCAAGTCCAGAGTGTGATTCCCCAAGTGGGTGGGGCCTTGAACTACCTGGGTCAGGTCCATGGCCATCATGGAAGCCATGAACTCCCGAGCCGTCTCCGACATCTCACCAGCGGATGGCAGGTTAAAATCCCCCATAACAATAAGTCTGGGGGTTTCCACCGCCACCCCGGCTATAATGTCGAACAGCTCAGGCAGGACCGCTGTTATGTGGCAGGGAGCCAGGTACGCAATCAGTAGGCCCATCTGAATCCCCCGACCCCACTTCACAAGGAGGGATTCACATCCGGCTATCTGAGGAACAGTGGCCTCCCTCGGGCAAAGACTTTCTCTAATGATTGCTGCCACTCCCCCACCCCTTCCCTGAGTCCTTGGCTGATGGAATGCATGGAAACCTGGTGGGCACATTTCCACAAGGGGAACTCCTCCCTCCTGGCCTAACCAGGTCTCCGTAATCCCTG